GGAGCCCTGTGGTGCGGGTGGCGCTGGGCCCGCGCTCGTCCGTCACCCTTCCTGGCACCCAGACTCGGGAGTCTCCTGGGGGAATTTTTCTGTGCCTCATACTTCCTGTCTCAGCCTCTTATGGAATCCGGTCCATGCCTCAGGGAAGCAGGGCTTTTACCACCCTGGACCCAAATCCATCACGGTATGGATCCAGGTTGAAACTTCCATGTTAACTCACCTGGCGCTCCCTTCTTGTGCTGAACTGCCCTCCCCCGTTGATGGCATTAGGTAATATTAGAAGTCCCGACTTGCTTGTCCTTAGCTAAGACTCTAAGCCTCTTGTTCAGTCTTCCTGAGTGGAACCACTCATCTGTGGCAGAAAAGCTTGGGCTGTCGTCTACCTATCATTGTCCCCGGTCTTTTGGGTTTTCTGTTGGGTTATGGTTCTCGGGCAGGGATATCAATTTGCACATGAGAAGCACCGGTAGACATTTTAAAAAATACAGACACTGGATTCGCCCCCCTTTCCAGCCAAGGCTGGAAGCTTTCTCCCTCTAGCAGGGGTTACACAATCATTTGCTTGGGACTTGACCACACATATTGGCATAATCATAGTAAATTGTCCTTTACTCAGTGCTTGCCACGTGGCATTTTCTACTTCATGTTGTGTTTGTACCTGCATTATCACATTTAATCCCCGCATTATGGATTATCACCATTTCTGTTGAAGACACTCCCACATGCTAATCTTGAATACAAGTATCTTTAATTTTCTTAATCTATTTTATTCCTGAATTTCCTGTTCCTGAATTTAAAGAGTGAATTATGGACATATGTATTTAAGATTCTCTTATTATATATATCTGACTCATCCTCTAACCAAATCATATCTGGAGAAGAGAGATTTTCTCTTTTATACATTTGGTTTTTCTTATTATATAGTAGTGCATACACACGGTGGAAAATGTAGAAAACATATAAAGTAAGAAAATTACAGCCATACATTATCTAAACACCAAAGGACAATGCTATGTCATTTTGGGCATTTAACTGTTTTTCTTATTATTTTATCATAAAATTTCCCCAGGGCAAGTTGCTTAACCCTGGAATTGTACTAGCCTTTTGTCAAGTACAGAATAACATTCCCAGAAATGACCCCAATATCAAAATAGTATGTGAGGCTGGGAAGGACACAGGGCTCTCAGTTTATTCTCTGAGTCCTACAAAGAATGCTCTTATTTCACTGATGTTATGCATTCGATGCCTG